ATTGTAGGCTGCTAGAAGAAATCAGATGTAGCTTTCTGTGATAAGTAATATTCCAACAGTATAGGATCATAGTTTGAAGCCATTTCACAATCACTAGTTTCCGCGCACCTCTACCGGCGAGTTGTGGACAAAAGCAGCTGATAGCTGTATACGAACCTTTTTTCCACAAAATGGTTTCTGGGTTTTCGTATTCGACAGTGTCATGTATTGATTTTTTTAAAATCTTAATCGAGGTCTTTTTTATTATGTACTGTCTATCTGACTGACTGTTTCTTTGTGTGTGTGTGTTTTTTTTTTCTGGTAATAACAGGTTTCATAATTTGGTCGCGGTTGGGGTTATAGGCTCCTGATCGTGAGCAAATAGCGAAAACCAAAGTAAACTATAGCGTTGAATCCGTTGGCCACGGAGAATTGGTATTATTCTGCAAGTTCTTTACTACAGCAAGAGAGTATACTCCCTTGACTATGGGACATTGGGCCGGGGGAACTTAGTATTTTGACCCGGCATAGGGGAGGGGGGGGGGGGGTACCCTGGCCAGATTTCAAGTCACGGGGATGATCGAAGTATGTTTTTTTTCTTGGTTTGAAAATATTTTGAACAAATTTTTTTTTTAGCTGTGGCTTTACTTAAGTATTCAAAATATTCGTTCTTTTTTGGTCCTGATTTTCGCTTCCACGGGTCACTCACGACACGTGGAATCCGAGATACCCCTCCTGTTTAGTACTTCGAAGGCAAAAAAGCTGTTTCAAAGCCTAGTAGATAAATAAAAGAAAAATAAATATGCATGGCTGTTTCTACTGCGATGAGGGGAGTTCTTGTCAAAAAATGTGAAAACTGTATTAAAATTGCTGACAACAGTTACGAAAATTTCGTGACAGCATGCTGACGTGACTAAAGCGTGTGACCAATTTCCGGTCACACGCCAAAGGTCATACGATCTTGTGCGATGTTTATTATCAGCCGACGAACGATTGAAGTGATGAAAGGTTTTCAAAATCGAAGTCATTAGTTTGCGATGAATTTTTATTCCTTTTGCCTCCTGACTGAAGTAAAAACTCTTGTAACTCTTGCTTCGACGTGTCGGGACTTTCGATTCACGGCCGGATTCGGACGCAGTTGCTGAGCAAACGTACATTTGTCTTTTGGCTAAAAATTATTTATTTTGTGACTCAAAACGACGCAAAAGAAGTTGGAAATAACTTTCCTTGCCGTAAAAACGTGTTACAAGCAATGGTGAGTAATCCTTTCATGTAAAACCTTTCTTTTTAGTTTAACAACCGTCCGCAAGCCGCCTAATTTGCATAAATTTCCCAATTTAATGGCTCTCACCGCTTGCTTTGGTGTCAGGATTATATTTGATTTCCAGAGCTAAAACTTTCCAGTAAGTTAGTACAAAAGCCAAGGTTCCATTTTATATTGATTTTATGATCAAGCGGCATATACCAGAGGCCTTTTTTAATAGTCAAAGTTGGCCTTCGTTTTCTAGCACGTCTAACGTCACAAATATGACCTCTTTACACTTGTCGATTATAAAAATGTAAAGCATTGTTTATCAAATTTTCTTTTAGGATTTTCAAGAATAAGAACAAAATAATAATTCGGTGAAGTTTCAGTGTCAGGGAATGTTTCTTACGCGTTCACCCTTCTCTCGAAGTTGCCATTGAATCCTGCCGTGTTTTGTGCGAAAAACGAGCATAAAATCGATTTTTCAAACTTTTCCTAATTTCTCCTTTAAAATGAATCGTTTGAACCCAAAACTATTTTTCCTTAAATAAGGTCACTAAAAGGGATGTTTTGGCAAAATAAAAAAAAATTCGATTTTTTGACGAGTGTCGTGCGATTTTCGATTTCCTCAGATAATGGCTCTTAAGAACATTGAAAACAGGGAAGGCTTTTAAATAGGGCCTCAAATATAGCCAATTTTCCCCCCAGATTTTGTGTTTACAAGCCAGCGTCCTCATTATTCACTGGGATTGTTTTCAAGTTTCATATACACGTGCACATTTAGCAAAAAGATAGAAGTTACATAAAAAAGGACCCGCGGTTAAATCTCCGGGATATGCTAATTACCGGGTAAAGAGATTAGTGATACATTAAACATCAGAGCAACTCTTTGTGAGAGTTTCTGTGATGTTATAACCCGAGTAAGATAATTAAGTATTGCATCCTACACGATGAGCCGTGACGTTCACCGTTTCGGCTCTCACTACTATCTGTGACGACAAGCCAACTATTAGCATATACCGGATATTTCTTCGGAAAGTAATCGAGCGTTCTTTTTGATGCAAATTTATATCTTTTGCTAGTTGTGCACGTGCATATGAAACTTGAAAACAATGCCAGTGAATAATGAGGACGCTCACTTGTAAACACAAAATGTGGGGGGGAAATTGGTTATCTTTGAGGCCCTATTTAAAAGCCTTCCCTGTTTTCAAAGTTCTTGAAACTTGCAGGAAATATTTCTTGACGATTGATCCCGAGATTGGCGAATTTAGAAAAAATTTATCGAGCGGTTTTTGGAAAAATGCGAAATTTTTAGGTATGGCCGAATTACGTCCAAAAACTGTATCAAAAGGAGCTGAATGCAAGTTAATAAAATTCTTCTTAATCGCGATCGCCCAGAGCAATTCCTCTCTTTTTTGTATGCAGTTTTCGATGGAATCAAACCACTATGAGATGAAGCCGCGTTCCCAAAGCTTATCATTTTCTTAAAATATTAGCGAATTGTGCGGCTAGCATGCTATTTCACTGCTTTGATGATTCTTAAAACTGCATTTCAAAATGTTTCGAAAACGCTCTCATAGAATTTCTTCAAACTTTGCCATAATGGAGACAATTATGGCAGGTACGTACTCCCTTAAGCGATTTTTTCAAAAAACTCCTGGTACAGAGAAACACAACGATAAATGAAAAACGTAATGGCGTCATTACGTTGCCATGGCGACTCCGATTGCAATAAAACCCAGATCATAAGGAATTTTCATCTTTATATAATATAGTTGTGGTAACCTTTTTTCCATATCTTTACTCATGCCGACGTAGTTAATGCTCAAACTTGGGAGGTATCAACCTCAAAAAATCCAGTCGAGCCACCTTAAAATGGCTGCTCAGTTCAGTAAGCGGTAACCATGAGTTGGTCAGTGCC